AATAACACTTCTTTCTTTTGACAATCCACAACAGCTCCATGTGTTGCCAGAAAGTCCATTCCAAGGATGACATCAAATTCATCAAAAGGTAGCAGAATTAAATCTGCTACTAGGAAAGCTCCTTCCACACAAATGAAGGAACTTCTAATAACTGAGTCTACTTTCAAGGTATCTCCCACAGGTGTTTTAACACATAAGGTATAACCTAGCTTATCTGGAACTAAGCGTAGCATATGTGCAAACGTATATGACATGAATGAGTGAGAGGAACCAGTATCGATCAAAGCATATAATTGCTTGCCAAGGATAGAAAGCATACCAGTCACAACTTCTGGTGCCACTTCTGCCTCACCGCGAGTCATTGCATAAACCCTCGGTGCTCCCTGTGCTCTGGTACCCTGCGTACCACTTCCTGATGGCTGATTTCGACCACCACCTCTACCACCCTGTGAACCACCACGACCACTCTGAAATCCACTACGGCCTCCCTGGTAACCACCCCTGAATGGGGCTCTACTAAATTGCACTGAAGGCTCGGACTGTGTAGCTCTTACTTCTCTCGAATGCGGACAGTCCCTCATGATGTGCCCAGGTTGGCCACAGTGAAAGCATACACCAGAAAATCTCCTACACTCTCCAAGATGCCTCTTCTGACAAACTTGACAAAATGGAAATTGTGTGGCTGAGGAAATTGGTGCCCTGTATGATGTTCCCGACATAGATTGACTATGTGTTCTCCCAAAACTGCTAGGACCTCTCCTGTGTGGGTAACGAGGTCCAGCATAATTTACTCCAAACTTCCTCTTCTTCTCCTCTTCTTTGGCCTTGTGTTCCTCTCTACCCTCAACTTCATAGGCTTCATACTTAAGTGCTGCCTCCTTAATAGTAGCCATACTCTCTTCATCAACCCTGTGGATCTTTTCTTTCAGCCCTAGGCGCAGACCATGTAAGTATCTCTTCTTCTTCTTATGCTCAGTATCTGCCAACCCATCTTCAAAGTAGAGTAGTCGAACAAACTTGATGGTGTACTCAGTAACTGTCATGTTCTCCTGCTTAAGGTTGGCGAATTCATTATTCTTTGCCCTTATAAAAGCTTCGGGAAGAAACTCTGTCTTAAAGGCCTTCAGGAACTCCTCCCAGGTGAACTGAACTCGTTCACCATTAACTCTAGAGACTGAGGACCACCAGCTCCTTGAGTACCCCTTTAGGAGAAAAACAAGATATTGTACTTTTTCCTCTGGGGTCGCATAAAGATACTCAAACACATCTTCCATCTCTCTCAACCACTCTACTACAGCATCTGGGCTCACATCTCCCTTGAAGTCCCTACCACCCAAACTCTTCATCTTTGCATAGTCTAATACTGGCGGTCTTGCATCAACCGCCCCCACTCCTCTCGACTGGTCAGTAGGAATATTATGACAACTTCCGTGCGAGCTACAAGGAAATATTGGCCTTAGATTGATCCACACAAAATTCATTCTTCACCCACTCTCTTACTTGGTCAAAACAGAATTTTCCCAATATAATTACTTGAAAACAAATAAGTTCAAATCTCAATTTTGAAAACCATGATGCAGATAATTTCATCCAATATACCAATACACATAATCATGTCAAACTCGATTCCCAGTTTAAGTCATTATGGGGTACTCCCCTCCTTAGGAGTGTTTAACCTCCCATAGGGTATAGTACGCCATAACAGCAAAAAGAGGGAACCGGGCTCTGATACCAAACTGTAACACCCTACCCTATACGTTTTGCCTAATCATATTGTTCATACAATTGCAGCGGAAATAATCTCGGGTGTTACATTAATTATCAAAATTTACCTAAATAAAATTTTGACATGAATTACTCGCGTAGTGGGCTAACAGTTCTTGTAACTAAAACCTGCAAAATAATTTATCTCATACTATAAATCCGTGTACATAGACATACACCCACAACCATATACATTGCTTCTCATATCCATAGTCACAGTTTCATACTACACAACTGCATACCATACTTATACATACCATAATCGTCACAACTTACACAGTTACACAAATATACACATATCATCAACTTTCCACACCTGTGGATATCTCACACTACATCAGAAGCTAGTATGCACATGAAAAAAGTTCTGAAAACATTTTTTTACAAAAAGGTGTGGATCACTGGCCAAAATCCCGAGTAGTAGTCCAAGCACATAATAGTTGAAGACCATACCTCATCCTGGCTTCAACTCTAGCTCCTCTCCCACCTAACACTTATCTACTGTTGCTGCTGATGATCTGCTTACACATAGCATAAGCAGAGAAGAAGAATAAAAGAGGGTCAGCTCATAGCTGAGTGAGATAATCATAGCATCGTGAGTTCATAACATAGCATACCCCTATCATACATCTAACAATCAAGCCAAAACACTAGGATCGGACCTCAGCCATCCTCATATCCCAATAGGCAAAAGACTCAACCACTTTGACTTATGCATATGCATCTTATCATGTTTTAATCATAGGCGCCTGGCTACTCCCATGCTAATAACTCTCCCGGGTAACATACCCCACATCCCGTCGGATGTAGTCATACATACCCCAACATCCCGTCGGATGTGGTCATACATACCCCACACCACTATGGGTGTAGTCATACCCCGACACCACTCTGGGTGTGGTCATATCTCATAAGAATTCTTCAGTCACCACCACATGAGAGGTGTGACTATCATACATATCATAATAGAGTAATAGCATAGGGAGCCCTAATTACTATGTAGTTGACCGTGAGACCACAACACTCATATTTGGTGTCCTTATACATGATTCATATCTCATCTTGCTTAATCGTAATTCGTTACTTGCACATGTACTTGACCTGGCCATAATTGGCTCAACATAGGTAAATTAGGAGTCGTATAATTGTACTTCCTCGGGATAAACCCTCGTGCAAGTCATCCTCCTTAAACAACATAATATCACCAGGGAATATATATTTTCCCACTTGTGCATCCAAATACAACAATCATGAAAAATCATACCTAATCACCTTCTCGAACCATCGTAAAGCATATTAATAGTCAAGCCCACAATTTGCAACATATACACAATCATCAGCATAAACAAAGTTCATATCGATTAGGGCAAGTCAATAATATCATACAGCAATCCAGGGTTCAACATATAGCACAAAAGTTCATGCACCCCTAATCATGCCATTCTAGTTCACCTAGATCAATTCTAAGCATCAATATAATTATCGTGATACGACAAACCCGGTATGCCGTGCTAATCCCTCACCAGTTCTGGTCGTTCAAACACCGGTTTAACCTTCCCGTACTAAAACGTCAATTTCACGAACGAACCCCGAATTAAAATCCGAGACCGTCCTAATATCCCCTGCAGTATCCCCGTCGATATTAGTTCTAGGCTCCGGGTCAAATTCTTGATAAAAATACATCAAACCCTGGCCGGAGCTAAATTCAGCGGTTTGGACCCCGGCCTAAATAATAGCCGAAATTTAGGGATTAGAACTAGAGGATTGATTACCTCGCTGCAGGAAGCTCGTATATGAAATTTGGGCTCAATCCGGTTCCGAATACTCCGAAACCCTAATTTGGCAGATCGGGAATTCAAGAAATTCCTGAACCAAAAACTCGTTTTAAAGCTCTAAATCGATAAATCACGATGAATAGATGAATTAGGCATTGCTTACGGGATTTTTGGATCACTTATGCTCAAGAATTGAGCTCTGAGGATTTTTCTGTTCCTCCCCTGCGCGCCCTGCTTCTCGGTTTCTCTCGGCCCAAAATAATGTAACAGAAAGAAGAAAGAAAGAGGATGATGGTGGAATAATGGACGGGTGGAAAGTTAATATATATATGCCGGCCGCTTAATTAGTATATATATATATATATATATATATATATATATATATATATATATATATAATTAATACGTATACTTATCCGATCGATCGATAATCCTATTTTCGTCGAAATAGTGTCGAAATACTCGATTTTAAATCGTGAAATTTTCTAGCGATCGAAATATGGATTTTGCCGGAACAAGATGTTACACTCTCTCTCTAGGAAGACCTCTAATGTGATAGATTCCGTCAATAACGCATTCTCCGGAGGGATCAAACCAGCTTGCCGGCGGGGTGGAAATCTCAGGACACAAGATCCGCAGCTCCCCACCACGGCGCTCCTCAATTCTACCCTTCCCCGACCTGCGTTACCCTCTCTCTCCGTCTCTCGTTCGCTCTGAAAATCAATCTCTCTCTCTCTCTCTCTCTCTGCTCTCTCTCTCTCTCTCTCTGCTCTCTTTCTTATGTGCAGTGGTATAGATTTAAAAACCTACATCTAGTAATTTTTGTTTATTGATTCAATGTGCAGTGGTATAGATTGTTTATATTGGTAGTTTTCGTGTAATGGTATAGATTTATTTCTGCAATGGTATTGATTGTTTATGGTATAGATTGTTTATATTGGTAGTTTGCGTGTAATGGTATAGATTTATTTCTACAATGGTATTGATTGTTTATGGTATAGATTGTTTATATTGGTAGTTTTTGTGTAATGGTATAGATTTATTTATGCAACGGTAATTTTCGTGTAATGGTATAGATTTATCTCTGCAATGGTATTGATGTTTTTCAAAGTGCTAGTGTTTGTCTAATGGATTGGTACTGATTTTTTTTTCTTCTTTTTGCAGAAAGATTGAGAAAAATATGGAAAGGAAATTTGGTTGGAGATTACGAAAGTGAGAGAAAGAGAGAATTTTAATTAATAGATTTTTGTAACTACCTAAAATATATTTATTAAAAAATTAATTAATATAATTTATTTTTCCACACCCAATTTACCCTTAGTAACCACGGTGATTACTACAAAATGTAGTAATCACCGTAACCTGTCCCTCATACCCTCATCTCTTCCTCTCGCCGCCTCCTTCCCACTGGTTCAACCCTTCTTCCTCTGCCGTAAGCAACAGGAGGATGAACTACCACAACCTAATCAAGAAATACACAGACGAAACCGTGAAGCGCATATGCGACTTCCCGATTGTCCTGTGAGAATCTCCACCCGCCTCTACCTCCCCATACTAGACGAAGAGAAGAGGAAGCTGTCGGTCTTGGTGTACTTCCACGCCGGCGTGTTCAAGGGTAAGACGTCGTCGGGGTGGAACGAGCGGCTGCGGAAGAAGATCTGTGGTGGCAGGGCTTTTGGTTGGGACTGGTTCCTTCTTTCTCTTCTTCGTCTTCGACATGCACTTTGGCGGCGAGGAATTTTCAACGGGCGGCGCCCAGATGGATTCTCTTCTCTTCTTCTTCCTTGTTCCTCCACCGCGGTCGCCATTACCTCAGATTCCACTCCATCATCGTCAAGATCGGTGGATTTGGGCCCGATTCAGGTTATGTTCGTCTTCTCCATCAGCCAAACGAACTGGTGGTTGTTCGTCTTCTCCCTCAGGCCGGTCTGGAGGAAACGCTAAGATTTGGGTTGGCGGTTAAAGACGGCAATGAGTTCCGGGTAGAAGAAGGGTCGAGAGGAAGAGGAGTGGGAGTGGCGGTGGTCGTCGTCGGTGCCGACTATAGAAAAAGATTAGGGATTGTGATTGTTATTGCGGTTGACCATGAGTTTCTTATTTCAATTTCTTATTTTTATTTTTCAACTTTTTAAGAACTAAAAAAAGAATTAAAATAAAAATGATATGGAAGCCATATCACTGCCATCTCAGCACAAGATGTTGAGTAATTGACGGAATACATGTTTGGCTGTTAATATTAACAGTCAACACAATTTTCGGGCCAAATTTGTCCAATAATTTCCAAAGTAGGCCGTAAATGTCTTATTTGAAAAATGAGGCCAGAACTGTCACTCACGCTAAACTTTGGGCCAAACTAGGGTATTAACCCTTTTAAATTTCAATACTAAACCTAATTTATTTTTCAATTCAAACTCTAAACTCTAAATTAGTGTTTGAAATAGTGGATTTAGTATTTGAATTATGGAGTAATTCAGGTTTACTGTTGAAATTTAAAAATAATTTGGCTTGAATTTAGAGTTCAGAGTGGTTGAATTAGGGCATAGAGTTTGAAAGTTTCTCCGGTAAGTTTTCCGACAACTTTCCGAAGAATGTAGATTTTAACAATTGTTAAGTTTTTTAGAAGTTGAGGGAGTTTAATAATTGTTATTATAAGTTATGAAAAAATCTGTTTTCCAAATTCATATATAAATAAAATGTAACTAAAAATTTATAAAATATTGACCACAAATAACATGCCTCTAAAAAAATGTTAAATTATAAATTTTCATTCGCACAAATTCATATACATCCCAATAATATATAGTACACTTTTGTGTACTTTCCTCTATTTCAAATTTCCTGCAACTAGAGTGAAAGTAGAGAGGACATTTTTGTCTTTACAATTAATTATTTATCTCACATTAAAAATATCAACATCAAGATTTGAACCCGAGTCTCTTCAAACAAAGACAACAATCACAACCATTTACACTGAACAAATTTGTTGTGTCATTTTGAATACAAAATATACACGAAGTTCAACTCTCTGAAAATCGCAGGACTTTCCATCATGATTAGCAAGCCCACTAAGTATACCGTATGTATTCTTATGGTACTTGATACTTCAATTTTCATAGTAGAGTTTCATGTAATTTTCTCAATTTTAAAATTCTTTCTCTCTCCTTAATTTTTGCTAAAGGTAAATTGATAATTGGCTACCATGGAAAAAACTAATTTTGTCACTACGTGTGTGTCTTTGCATTTTTTAATTTAAATTTTGTGATTTTTATCTTTGTTTTTATCTCTTTTTAACTTCCTCGAAAATTTCCTTCATCGTACGATAGTTTGCGCCCCTTTCACTTCCCAGTACAAGGCCACCTTTGAAAATCGATCATCCGGTATCTCTTGGCACGTGATTTTATTGTTGGGGATTTAAGTTGGGCAAGTAAAAGAGTTTAATCAATAATGGAGTTGCAGAAGGAGGATTCGAAATTGAATTTACGGTTGAAATATATGTCTCTTGAGATAAAAATTTAGTTGTACAACAAAGAGTGGTGGTATTGGATTTTTATGTTTATGGTTTTTACATCTATCGCAACCTATTTCTATCTTAAAACGAGGAATCATTGATTGATTTATTGAAGTAGGTCGATTCTTTATTCAACCTACTGGAACTGATAGACAAGGAGTGTGTCATTTTGTGCATTATTACTTTGATTGAGTCTATTAGTATGTTGGAGATAACCCTAATTTTGTCGTTTGCTCTCAAGTTTTGATGGTCCCCTCTTAGCTGAGTTGAATCAACAACTCTCCATTTCTTTTTGATTAGTGGCATATTGTTCATTAATGGAGCGCATTAAATCCTTATGCTGGATTGTGAGGTGATTTAGTTTCAAACTATCTAATGGTCGTGTGGAATTTCACTGAGCTTTTATACCCTCTTTCTTGACAATCAACTAACCAATAGTATTTTAACGAAGGCTTAATTATCATTATGAAAATGGAATTAATGATACATTTTATATTTTATATTCTTAAATGATGAAAATGGTATTTTATCATTATGAAAATGGTATTTCTCCGAATGTTAGACCTACATATTCTTTCTTTATGTAGCATCTCGATCGAAGGATTGTCAATCATTTTATATTCTTAAATGATGAAAATGGTATTTTATCATTATGAAAATGGTATTTCTCCGAATGTTAGACCCACATATTCTTTCTTTATGTATCATCTCGATCGAAAGATTGTCAATAAAATTAAACCACTTGATTGGATTAAACATAATATAAAAATATAAATAATCAAATAAGAACATTCCGGCCAATGGGCCGGGTTATAAGCTAGTATACATATATGAGTTATTCTCTAAAAGAGCACAGATTCATAATTTATTTCAAATGGGACTCTTTAAAATTTGAACTCCTCTCAAAGTTGGTTTCCCAAAAATTCTCGAAATGGGATTTTGCCTCTCCAAAATGTTCGTATTTTGCCTCCCGCTTTATATTGGCTCTCCCTAAATTTAATTTCAAAAACTTCTCCCGCATTTATTCCCGCCTGTCTAGTCCAAAATTTTCGCTCCCAAAACTTTTTGGCTCCATAGGCCAAATTCTAAAGTTTTGGCTCTCTCTCCCGCCTTTCCCCCACTTGCCATTTCCCCCTTCCCTTGTACGATGCGAGATAAAATTGATGGGACAATATACCATAACAACACTCCTACTGTTGTTAGGGTTACTATCTTAGTTTGGCCTGAACTATACACATACTTTATACTTTGACCCGTGGTATTGGAAATTGCTATTCTGATTTGAACTATGTAGCAAACTTCCTCATTTGGCCTGAAGGCGGGTTTGACCGTTAAATTAAACGGTCAAACTTGTTGACCGTTAGTCAATGTCCACCTCACCTGCCATGTCAGTTTTAAGGACATAATTTTTTTTTCCGAATTTTGTTTTCTTGTCATTTGCTAAAAATGGGCCCTTTTCGTTCTTTTAATTAATTTATTTATTTATTATTTTTATTAATCGAAAGAAAAAAAATTCAGAAATAAAAATAATAATTTTTTATGTCCTCAAAGCTTACGTGGCAGGTGAGGTGGACATTGACTAACGGTCAACAGGTTTGACCGTCTAATTTGACGGTCAAACCCGCCTCTAGGCCAAATGAGGAAGTTTGCTACATAGTTCAGGCCAGAATAGCAATATCCAATACCACGGGACAAAGTAGAAAGTATGTGTATAGTTCAGGCCAAACTATTAGACGGTCAAACCCGCCTCTAGGCCAAATGAGGAAGTTTGCTACATAGTTTAGGCCAGAATAGCAATATCCAATACCACGGGACAAAGTAGAAAGTATGTGTATAGTTCAGACCAAACTAAAGTATTAACCCTTGTTGTTATAATAACAACAGATGACATTAAGGGTAAAAAGGTAAAATACAACAAAATCATAAATTAAATGAAAATCCAAAATAATCCTCCAGACTCGAGCGAGCCCATATCCCTATCCCCATCCTCATCCTCATCCCTTGCTCTCTTCTTAATCCATTCTCGTGCGCCACCGCCGGCGATTTCTTCTCCTTTCAACCAGTAATCATCATCTATTTACTCTTGAATCCGCTTCCGTTCATTGCCGTCGGTGATTTTTTGTCTTCAACCTGTCATTTTCACCTTCTACCGAAAGGGTCAGAAGACCTATAATTAACATCCAGACCCCAGCGGAAAGAGGAATCACCGCCTTTCCGATAGTTACTGATAATAGGATCTGAAAGTCGCCGCCACGAAAGTCGAGTTCCTCCACGAAGCCCTCACGGGGGCCTTTAGGGACGGTCACAGTCTGTCAATTTGGGTTGACGCATTTACCAGAAACACCACAAAGTATACCACAATAATTTCTAAACCACACCAGAAGCCTCATAATGCATACCAAACATCTTCTGAAGCATACCAGAAATACCATAATGCATACCACAAATATTTCTAAAGCACACAAAAAACCTCCTAATACAAACCAGAAACACGACAAAGAAAGCTACAAATTGCATAAATCTCATAAAGCAAACCAAAAACCTCCTAATATTTGATGTGCTTTAAAATATATGTGATATGCTTTGTGGCGTTTATGATATGTTTTTGGAGATTTATGGTTAGCATTAGGAGGGTTCTAGAGTGCTTTGGAATTTTTGTGGTATGTTTTGTGATATTTTTGGTTTGTTTCAGAAGATTTGTGGTATGCATTCATTAGGAGGTTTGTTGTGTACTCTAGAAATATTTGTGTTGTTGTTTATGAGATTAGTAGTGTGTTTTGTGAAATGAGTTGTGTTTAGATTTGTGGTGTTTTTTTTTGTTTTGATATGCTTTACAATATTTCTAGTTTTTTTAAATTCGCATGTATTCCAGTATGTTTTATGAGATTTATGGTTTGCTTTCTCTTGTTTTTAGTCAATTTATGAGATTTGTAGTTTGGTTTCTCGTGTTTAAATTCAATTTATGAGATTTGTGGCGTTCTTTATGATATATGTGGTGTGGGTAAAGAGATTTGTGGTTTGCTATATGAGATTTGTGATGTGTTCTCTCGCGATTCTGATATACTTTATGAGATTTATAATTTCCTCTCACGTTTTTTAGCCGGGACCAGAATGGTGACAACACCATATTTGTTGTTATTGTAACAACAACATAGGTGGACCAATAGGAACCCACCATTCTGCATACTTTTGAAATTCATGCGTTGACTAGGGTAAAAAACAAAGGAAGGGTATTTTTGTCCTACCGAAACATTGTAGCTCCTTTTGTCCAAAAAATTGCAGCTCGTTTCTCTCTCCCCACTTTATTCTCTCTCAAATTGCGGGGCGCCGAGTCTGAACGATGGCGACGAAATCCTGATTGCAGCAGCTACCGCAACGGTGACGAGATCGTGATCGCAGTAGCTACCGCAACGGCGGTGACGAGATCCTGATCGCAGCAGCTACCGCAACGGCGGCGGCGAGATCGTGATCGCAACAGCTACCGCAACGGCGGCGACGAGATCGTGATTGCAATAGCTACTGCAACGGTGGCGACGAGATCCTGATCGCAGCAGCTACCGCAACGACGGCGACGAGATCTGATCACAGGAGCTATCGCAACGGCGGAGCAAGCTCCTGATCGCAGCTAAGACATTGACGATGGACG